AGTTGTCGCTGTTTTGAAGCGCCTGGACAGGTCTCCGATTGCAGTAGAACGCAAGGCCGATATTCAGACTTAATGTGGTCTAAGGTAGAAAAAACTTCAGCCAGGTTCACTCAATTACAGGCCAATTTTCCTTGTCTAGTTTAGAAATGGGGGATTGGAGGTAGCAACGTTAAAAACGGTAAGTCACTTGGCTGAACAATGGGTGTGGGTCGCGGGAATGGGGGATGGGGGGAAGAGTGTCTCTGAAATGCTGTCATTGCTCATAGTATGAAACCGATTTGCCATTAATTTGCATAAAAGTACTCGCTCACCTTTTTTCCTTCACGTTTTTATTTGTGTATCCACCTTTTCGCTTTTAGGGTTGGCGAAACTCCTTTAAGAACCGGTACGATGTCGGCTTTTTGCGCGTTAAAGGTAAACGCCAAGTTTTAATTAGTCGCCTCAAGTAGTATTTTTTTAAGTCAGCATTGCAACAATCCGTTGCTCCTTCTTGTTCAACCCTTTATCTTTATGCGTACCTACAGAGAATGGCCTAGATAGTCGAGCGTATTCGATAAGAATTTTAAAAGTACCAAGGAGAATCACTTTCATAAAAATCCTAAAGCTGCTTTTTCTTCTAGTAATCGCGGCCACTGATTTGGAGGCCAAAGACTTGAACGGAAAGTCGGATCCCTACTGTATGCTGGAGCTCCAGAACATGCGTGTCCAGACGCAAACGATTGAAAAGACCCTCAGTCCGCGATGGGACAAGACCTTCATCTTGTAAGTTTCGCTACACGCCGATTTTCCGCTCCAGCATGTATAATTAGAGGAAAGTTTTCCAGAATTCATTCTTGAATAGAACGAAATTTTGAGCATTGTGACTTATTTTTGTAGTCCAGTTACGGATATTCACGCGGTCCTCTCCGTAAAAGTCATGGACCAGGACAAGACCAAATCCGACTTCTTGGGACGCTTGGTCATTCCCCTTTTGTGGGTGAGTGCAATGACAAGATTAAGCTCTTTTGATAAGGAGGGAACACTACTACCCCATTACAACTTGCATTAAATGAAAACCTTGAGACGG